GTGAGATCATGACCTGAGCTGAAGTGGGACGCTTCACCGACTGAGCCACCCAGGCGCCCCAAAGCAGGTATTACTATTATCCTCATTATGGGTGAGGCATTGGGAGCTCGTAGAGCTGATGCGACTTGCCCAAGCACGCTTAGCTAAGAAGGAGGATTTGAACCCAGTTCAAGCAGGTTTAAGGTCTCAGCTCTGTCCATCCAGTGTATCATCCTGGTGGCTTTCATGCCCATCTGGGTCCTGCCCTGTCGTTAGCTGTGCAGTTTCTGGATCCTGAGCTCCACCCGTCAGAGGTGCTGGATGAACTTGACACTGTGTCCTCGGTGGAAGGAGCGGGGAGGGCCAGGACCCTTTAACCTGCTGTGTTAAGAAGCTGTGGGCTCTGGAGGCCACCGTCTGCATTCTGGCTGCGGTACCTCGGCAGGTCAGTCCCCTAACTTCCCTGGGCTTCTTTTCATCCGTCAAGTGAGGGGGGTGACCCAACCGTCTTCTCGGAGCGGCGGTAAGTACAGAGTGAGACCCTGTTTGCGCCTGGCATGTTGTAGGTTCTCAGCAAGCGTTCCTGCTTTCTGTGGAAAGCAGACCCGAGTAGGGGGTAGGGGACCGTGAGCGTCAGCCCGTCAAATTCTCGGAGAATTTAGGGGCCAATGGGAGGAGGGCTTTTTCACCAACAGAGAGAATGAATTCTAAGGGAAAAGGTCTCGCGCAGGTGGATGTTAGTTCCATTTCAGGAAAACCTGGACCGCGACAGCTCACCCAGCCGGACAGCCGCTTGGCTCACAGCGAATGAGCTCCCCATCACTCCAGAAAGCCAAGCAGAGCTTTGACGGCCGCTGGTCAGGGAGGCTGTGGAGGCTGATGGGGCTGGGGTGGAATTGGCCTGCGCCACCTCTGGGGGCAACCCTTTCCCTGGGTGCTTACTGGCCGCTGCCTCGGGCTGTTACACACGAGTGCGCCTGACTCACTGCCTTCCATCCGTGTTTGCCTGGTGACCACAGGAAGGCTCAGCCCAGCCCTCACCGCGTCTTCTCTAAATAAATTCAGGCAGCTGAGCTATCTGCGGCCCCATCTCCCTTTGGGTTCCTGTGGAGGCGGGGGTCGGTGGTTAGGGGGAGCTCAGGCCAGGCCACAGGGAGGAGGGGCTCAGGAAGGGGTCTGCACAGTGACACGAGCCCTCATTGTACCTCTGACTGCCAGCCCACGCTGCCTTCTTTATTTGGGCATCCGCTGGTTTTGACTTTTCCTTAGAGGCCCTGGTCTTCGCCGGGTCCCTTTCCAGCCCCTCTGGCCCCTGGCCCAGTCACCTCTGGGTCGGCCTGCCCAGGCTGGTGCCTGTGGGTGCCGGCCCCAGGACCCTGGGATGTGCTCCGTGTTGGTGCACATCAGCTCCTGGGCTCCTGTCGGAGTCCTTGAAGTTGGGATGGTGGTCAGGACCCCGTCAGGGCCAGGCGGGCGGCCGCAGGAAGCTCTGGCTGGTGGGCCCAGGGACCCTGAGTGAGAGCCTGTCTGCGGGCTTATCTTGGCTGGGGCTCAGCGGTGGAAGGCCCGGCCCAGTGCTTCAGGGGGGAGAGACCATTCATTCCGGCTCTCGCTGGACCGCACTCTCAGGTCCCTGCCCCTTGAGCATTACTTCATCCGCTCGCTCATTCATGCACTTTCATTCCACTCATTCATTTATTCAGATCCTCGAGCCTTCATGGGTTCATTCCCACAAACATTCGCGCAGCATCTTCCTCCGCTTATTCCCTGGCCCCAGGCTGGAGAAGGGGGTAAACTGAGGGCCGCGTAACAGCTTTCGGGGATCCTTTTGTGGGCGTCCATAGCACACCCCAGAGGTTTCTAACCCGGGAGAAGTGCGGTTTGGAAGACTCCTCTGGGAGGCTGGCGGACTTGGGGGGACCGGGGTGGAGGCGGGTGTGGGCCCAGGTCGAGTGGGAGACGCCTGGGCTGTGGGGAGAGCGGAGGGGTGCGTGCACCTGTGGGCGGGGCACTGGGGTGAGGGGGGAAGGGGCGTCAGTAGCGGCCGTGGGGCTGGAGGTGCGGTCGTGACCCTCAGCGTGTTGAGAGGAAAGGATGGGAGGGAAAGTCAGGCTTTCCCTGTGAGATTCCTGACCCCCCCTCCGCCCCCCTCCGCCCCCCTACACCTCCTCCACCCCCTCCATCCGTGGCAGATGGAGGAATCTGCCTTCCGAGGTGTTTTGTAAAGTAAATATTTTGTGAGTTTGAGAACCTCTAAGTCAAACAAAGTTTAAATATTTTTTTTTGCAGGACTTCTCAGAGCCTTTGACATGTTTTAAATGTTTATTCTTTTTTTTTTAATTTAAAATGTTTTTAAATGTTTACCTATTTTTGAGAGGAAGAGAGAAAGAGCGTGAGCAGGGGAGGGGCAGAGAGAGAGGGAGACACAGAATCCGAAACAGGCTCCAAGCGCTGAGCTGTCAGCACAGAGCCCGACATGGGTCTCAGACTCATGAACCGCAAGATTATGACCTGAGCCGAAGTCAGATGCTTAACCAATTGAACCACCCAGGCACCCCTTTAATGCATGTGGGGAATAAGATATACAGTGTTTCTCAAATGTATTGTATCTTTTTTTCTCTTTTTGGCAGCACACCCTTGGTACTGGGGTTCCTGACAACACACTTTGGGAAATGTGGACTTAGAATCATGGTCAAGTTCTCAGGAGTGTTGTCCTTTGATCTCAATGACCTGACCACAGCCCCAGACACTAAGGCCAAGAGCTGTTAGCCCAGAGCAAAAGACTAAATTCCAATAATGACACTGGAGAAGGAAACTGCTTTCCCAATCCAGAAGGCTATTATAGCTTATCTTCAGACCGAGTGCTGAGTTTCCTGGTGGCCAAAGCAAAAAGGGAAATGTGGTAGGCTTCATGATTTTGGACTGGCAGTTCAGCAGGAGGACCACATATTTTCTACCTGTGAACAAATTTCGGTTTTGATTCACCTGTTCATTCATTCATTCATTCATTCATTCAACAATGTTTATTTACCACTTACTGTCTACAAGCTCTAGGACCAGGGTTACAGTTGCAGCCAAAACAAACAAAAAAAGACACATACCTGCCCTCACGAAGGTTAGTCACGGGTTCTCTGAACAAGGATGTCCACGCTTTCTTGGAGCCTGGGGTGTCTTTTTCTCTCCACCTCTTTTGTGTCAGGAGCACAGAAGGTGATCCCATCCTCAGTACAGAGAACTCAGGGAGTTGACAGACCCCAGACCTTGTGTTAGAATTTTCAGGAAAACCAACATGAGAAACTGGTCCCGTCCCTGGGACCCTGGGCCTCTTTTCCGGGCTCCCAACCCGATGAGCCAGGGGTCTCATGACTTTGACTTCTCTTTTCACCTTCGTTCTTCATGGTCTGGTTCTCCAAAACTAGGCGTGGATTGCTCTTTTTGTTGGTTGGGTGGATAGACGGACCCATGGATGCATAGACAGATGACTGAATGGATCGTGGAGGGCCAGATGGCTGGCATTCAGTAAAGTTACAGCAGTAGTATTATTAACAATTTTTTATGGTGGCAAAATACACAAAAAATAACATTTACTGTCTCAACTATTTTTTTTTTTTTAATTTTAGAGAAAGAGGGAGAGAGAGAAAGAATCCCAAGCAGGCTCCACTCAGTGCGGAACCCATTGGGGCTCGATCCCACGACCCTGGGATCATGACCTGAGCTGAAATCAGGAGTCAGACGCTCCACTGACTGAGCCACCCTGCCACGCCTGTCATAACCATTTTTTTAAAAATGTTTTATTTATTTCTAGGAGAGAGAGAGAGAGACAGCGTGAGCAGGGGAGGGTCAGAGAGAGAGGGAGTCACAGACTGAAACAGGCTCCAGGCTCTGAGCTGGCAGTCAGCACAGAGCCTGACGCGGGGCTCGAACCCACGAACCGCAAGATCATGACCTAAGCGAAAGTCGGACGCTTAACCGACTAAGCCACCCAGGCGCCCCTATTTTGACTTTTATTTGTTGTTGTTGTTGTTGTGGCTGAGTTGTAGGAGTTCTCTGTCTGTTCTGGGATATTTACCCCTTAACAGATCTAGGATTTGCAAGTATTTCCTCCCATTCTGTGAGTTATCTTTGTACTTTGCAGGCAGTATCTTTTGATGCTCAAAACGTAAACTTTTTATGGGGTCCAGTTTGTCTTCTTTCTATTGTTACCGGCAGGTACAATATTATTAAAAAAAAATGAATCTATTAGTGAATGAATGGACAGTTAGGTGGATGGATGGATGTGTGGGATTAGATGTATAGATGATTCTGTAATCGGATGGGGGATAGATGGATATTTGGATGAGTGGCTGGATGGGCAACTAAGATGGTGGATGGGTGGTTGAGGGGATAAATGGGTAGATGGGGAGTTGGCTGAGTAGGTGGGTAGAGGGATGGACAAATGGGCAGGTGAGTGAGTGGACAGATGAATAGATCATCTCATGGGCATATGAGTAGGTGGAGGGATGGGTGGTTGGGCAGAGGCGAAATTCTGGCCACCTACTGAGGTCTCCAGATGTAACCCAGGCACCATCCAGATGAGTACTGGCTTATTTTCTGACCCCAGCTTGACTCAGTTTAACTCTATGGACACACATTCTTTCTGTCTAGGTTCACCTTCTTTCATTCTTCCTTCGGGTCTCCAAGGATCTTAACCTGGAGCTCAGAGCAAAGTGAGCTCCTGGCTTGTCAGCTGACCTTCTTGGCGGTAAGAACCCGGAGGGAAGAGCCTGCATCCTCTGGGGATAGGGTGCCCCACCAGCTCTCCAGCAAGCCGGGGGTCTGCTCTTATGCCTTTCCGGGCCACGCGGCCTCTCTAGAAGCTTCTGTGCGGCACCCAACGTCCCGGCAGCCCCTCTCTGCCCCCACCCCACCTGTGTGCCCTTCCGCATCTGGGTCGGTGGGGGGCGGTGAATCAGAGGGAGGGTCCTCCAGGAGGTCAGCCCCCTCAAGACCCCTGTCTTGTGTCCCAGGGCCCCCCGGCAGCCATGGACCGGGGTCTCCCGGGCCTGCCCCTGCGGCCCGGAGTGCGCGTCAGGGGCCCGGCCCTCCGCAGGCAGCGGGAGTTCACGCCCGAGGAGAAGAAGGACACGGTTTACTGGGAGAAGCGCAGGAAGAACAACGAAGCGGCCAAGCGGTCCCGGGAGAAGCGGCGTCTCAACGACGCGGCCCTCGAGGGCCAGCTGGCCCTGCTGCTGGAGGAGAACGCGGCGCTCAGGGCCGAGCTGTGGGCGCTGCGGCACGGCCTTGGCCTCCCGCCCGCCGCCGCGCCCCTGCCGGCCGTGCTGTGGGAGGCGCCCTGGCCCGCAGACCCCCGCGCCCGGGCCGCGCCGCTGCCCGCCCTCCCCGGCCCGCACGGCTGCCTCTGGAGGCCGTGCGCCCTGGACGCCTGCGCTCCGGGACGCGCGTGCTGCCCGGGGACCCACAAGTGGACCGGCCTGGCCGCCTCCCCCAGGCGCCCCCAGGACCCCGCGCCCCCCGCCCCCAAGAGGACGGACGTGGCCTTGCCGGCGGCCCTCCCAGCGGCCTTATTCGGCTGTCCCCTCCTGGACGCGCGCGGGGGCGCCAGGCCGGAGCGCAGGCCCTTCTGGCGGCTGTGGTCAGCCGTGCCCCCCGGTTACCAGGCCTCGGGGCCCTCAGATGTGTTGCTGACGCCGGCTGCTGAGCCCACGGAGCTGCCTCCCCCGGGGGCCTACCCCGGCCCGGGGGGAGACTCTGAGGGTCAGCCCTCCCTGCCCCACAAACTGCGCCTCAAGTCCCAAACCCCGGGCAGAGCGCCTCCAGGGTGGGCAGAGGCCCGGGGCCCCCTCTGAGGGCCCCTCCCCCCCCTACCCGGCGGGGCCAGGCCTGCAAGGGGACGTTGGGACTGAGCACGGGTTTGTGTGGGGAAGATGAGTGGCTGGGGGTGGGGGGCTCGGAGGGGGTCCGCCGCTCAGTGTCCAGGCCTCTGGGAGGAGGGGACAGGATTTCAGCTTGGATCATAGGGTTCCCATCTGGGCTTTGATCATCACTCTCCCTCCCTTCCTTCCTTCCCTCCTCCCTCCCTGACTTCCATCCATCCATCATCCATTCATTCATTCATTCATTCATTCTCTCACACATTAACTCTCACAGTTTCCCTGTCCCCTCACCCACCCACTCGTGATCTTTCAACCCTCCCTCTGTGCTCAGCTTGGCGACAAGTGTGACGTCACCCTCCCGGCTTTGGGGTCCCTAATCTGGAGGTAGTGGGGGGGGGGTCGGGGTTAGACATACTGAGGGCCAGACTCAAGAAGGAGGTAATGTCCCAGGGTGTCTGCACCCTTATTTCTCGGGCTCCCCTTGAAACTTACGTACCAGCTAGTTGGGGTCAGACTTACCCGGTTCAGATGGCTTCCCCTGTGTCTGGGGTCAGGATCTTGACGCAGTGGAAGACGTCAGCAATGTTGGGGGCAGGGGTCCACTTCTTCTCTCTCCCTGGCCTCAGCACGCACGCTGCCAGCTGGACAGGAGAAGGGGCCCTTCTGCAGGGAAGGTGTCCCAGGGACCCTGAGCCCCGAGCCCATCAGACCATCCCTCCTCACTTTCTCACCCCGAACTTCAGTTGTGGGGAGAACGGGGCGAGGGGGCCTCCTCTGGACTGCTGCAGTCTCCGAGTCCTGGATGCCCTTGGCCAGTTAGCTCTGGGTCACTGGGCCTCAGGCCTCAGCCTCCCCATCCCCCCAGCAGACTCAGGGGCTGGGCCCTTCTCGGCCTTCCTCCACAGTCACAAACAAGAGCACTGCTCCTATACTGGGCAGCGTAGGGAACTCACAGGCCTCCCACCCTGCTGGGCACAGCTGTCGGAGGCAGGGGGGCGGGGTGGGGGTTGGCCAGCACTGCTCCTCGAAGGAATGTGCTGCTGGCTCAGCCATGGCCCCTGGGCACAGGCAGGTGGGAGACACCCAAATGCCTTTGGTCTTGGCTCAGAGACTCGCACCTACCAAGAGTGTCCTGGGGAGGCAGGAAGGAGGGCTGCCTGGAGGAAGCAGCTCCAGCCTGTCCCTCCACGGACAGTGCCCACAGCTGGGAGGGTGGAGCCTGGGAGTGCACAGGTGCTGACGTCCAATGCAAAGGGCCCACACAGCTGTGGCTGATCCTGCACAAAGGCCTTTAATGAACCTCTGGCCCTGCCTGGCCAGAGGGATGTTTTAAAAAGCTTAAGGGGGAGGGAAGAAGGAAGTGGGGGTGGCTGTGTAGAACCCTGCTACTGGGAGATGTAGGTGGCTTGGTGCTTCCTGACAGTGCCACCTGGTTGGTGTCGGAGGGTCCGAGGTGTCTGGGCCCAGCGCGCTCAGGCCCTGTGGACTCAGGGGAGTGGGGGCTGGCTACCCTTGGGTCACTCAGGCCCCCTTTAACCTTCCAGCCCCAGTTGGAAAAGCCCAGAGAAGAATCTTCCTAAAGCAAATCATAGAATCTCCACATCAGGAGGGACCCCTGGAATCTCTCAACGGGTGCTCATCCAGTCTCTATTTGAATGCCTCTGGGAATGGAGAACTCACTTCCTCTAAAACCCATCACTACTTCTCTGGAGTCAAAATCTGCTCTCTTGCACACCTTCGACCTCCGCTCTTGTTCTTACCTCTGGAGGGGCTGCTCAGAAGCCCATCCCACCCTCCTGCCTCCCTCCCTCTGCCTGGGGGTAGCTGACATGGTAGAAGAAGCCACCATTTCCTCCTCTCCAAAGGAGAAACCACCAAACACACCTCAGATAGCTTGAGAAGATTAAATCTCATTTATTGTGCACAGAGCACTTTATACACAGCAAGTGTTCAACACATGTTAACTCCCCTCCCTTCCTTTCTTTTTTTTGGAAAGTCTCATGTTCCCAGCCCCAGAGTAGCACTTTCTTCAGGGAAAATGTCCTTTTGGGTTTTACAGTTCTTTCCCTTTGTCCTGGTCTGTGCAACCCTCCCCCTGCCTTTTTTAATTTTCTTTTCTTTTTCTTTTTTTTTTTTTTGGTCAATGCTCTTTATATATGACGGCTCTGGGAATTATGAATCATTTCTTCATCAAATGCATATTTTTCCCAACAAATATATTTTTGAGCTCCCACTATGTGTCCAATAGGAACCAGAGGAGAGAAACGGTGCTCCAGACTGAAGAGGTTGCCAGGGGAACCTTGCACAAACATCTAGAACATTCATATTGATCACTCTCCGGTGCTGGGCTCTGGGACCACAGGCGTGGCCCCTGCCCTCTAAGAGCCAGCAGGCAGACTTCCATGGGGCTGCCCAGGAGCTGCTGCTGTAAGAACTTTAGTGGCACACCCCACCTTGGGGTGTCCATGGGCCCCTCAGGTTATGTCTGTCACGCTCAAGATTGACTCTGCGGCCAAATTTTAGGACACTCTGCACCCGTACGTTATGTTTCCTCTTTCACCCATCCTTGAAGCCTAGTGAGATCTTTTTGGCTACAGATGTGTGAAATTTTCTTCCTGCCTCAGGTACATCTGATCCACGTAGAGAGTGTGCAATATGCACTGAATGAAAGTTTCTGCTCGCTAGGTTGGTGATTCCCAGGGGGCAGAGATAAAAAGAGCCGAAGATGCACTGAGGCCATGTTTATCTCTCCTGTCTGTTAAGGATTCACAGACACATCCTGGCTGAACTCTGCGTTGCCTGGATCCCGGATACTCAAGTCCTGGTCTACGGACCAGCAGCCCAGCATCACCCAGGAGCTCTCTGGAAATGCAGACTCTCAGGCGCCTCCCGGAGCCGCTGAATCAGAACCTGCGTTTTCATAAGCTCCCAAGAGACTCATGTACACGTTAAAGTTTGGGAGCCATTGATACAGGGCAGAGGTTGGAGGATTTTCCTGTGCGGGACTGGAGAGCAAATGTTTTGGCTTTGTGAGCCAACAGCCGCTGTCATGCCTACTCTGCTCTGTCTTTTTGGTGTGAAAGCAGCCGTAGGCGATATGTAAATGAGTGGGTGTAGCTGTGTTCTAATAAAACTTTATTTCCCAAAACAGGTGTGGTCAGATTTGGCCTGTTGGCTGTTTGCTGATGGTGTACCCTCAGGAGTGGAAGGGGGGACCTTAGGGGTGCTTGTCTTTAACCCTGATATTGCCAACATGTTCTGCAGAGCAGCATTGCCAATTTGCAGTCCCTTGCACATAAACCAATTTTGTTTTCTGCCAACTCTTGGTTGTTTGGCTTTTGCCTATTTGGGGGAGGGGGTGTAAAATGGTTTAACCTGTGTTCCTCTGTTAACTTTGCCAAAATTGGTTGGCCCCTTGGATTTCCTCTTCTATGAATTGACTGTGCTGCCAGAATAGTTACTTTTTCTTACCGATTTCTCAGAACTCTTTATATATTCCAGATATATGTCCTTTGCCACATATGAGCATCACAGACTTTTTGTCTGACTTGTCTTTTCATCTTATTCCTGGGGTGTTTTATTTCAGCAAAGTTGGAAAACGGGATGTATGCACACTTATCAATCTTTTTTTTCCTGGCTTGTACATTTCTGCTTGTTTAAGGATCCTTTCGTGTCTCAAGGTCATCAAGATAGTCTCTCAGATGCTCCTCTAAATGTTTCCGAGTTTCACACTTCACATGAAAGTATTTAGCCCAACCTCCCTGTCTCTCTCATTCTGTTGCATGAAGTGCCGTTATTCAAACTTCGCTTAGAGGTGCTCATTTCATTATAAACCTCTTGAATCAGACTTTCCAGGAGACAGGCTTTGAGATCTGTATTTTTTACTAGCTCTGAGGTGATTCTTATAATAGGGAAAAGATGGTGCAGTGATGAGCAGATGGGTTGGGGAGGGCAGCCGCCATCCTGGCTGGCTGGTTTCATTCACACCATGCGGCCTCCCTTGCTTATCTGTAAACAGGATTCCCACAGCTTCTTGTGAAGATTAAGTGAGACACAGTCCAGATATGGCAGAGGGCGCTTCGCCTGGGGCCTGGATTGTTTCTCCCCGTGGGGGCTAAGCTTATGGCTAGAACAATTATTCATTCATTCGTTCATCGTTTGGAAAACTAATTTACTCGTGCAGCAAATATGTATTGATCACATACTGTGTTCGAGGCACAGGAAAGAGCAGGAAACAAAAGAAATGTCGTTTCTGCCTCCACGGCGCTGGCAGCCTAGCTGGGGAGGCAGATACATAGACACCAAAAGGAGGGTCCACGCGGATAAGTATCATGCAGAGAAAAGAGGCGGGGGGGCGGGCGCTTGGGAGAGGTGGCAGTGGATGTGTTGTAACAATTGAAACAGGGAGGTGGGGTCCCTTTTCTCGCTGAGAAGGTGCTATTTGTGCAGAGGCTTGAGGGACCTGTGCATGTACTGGAGGAAGATCACGCCCAGGCAGGAGAGAGCAGCCTGTGATAAGGCCCTGGGGCAGGACTGTGCCTCATGAGAAACGTGGAGGAGGCCCGTGGGGGTAGAGGCGAGAGCGAGCGAGGGGGGGAGAGGGAGGAGGTGAGGAAGGGGAGGTGATGGGGCAGGCCATGCAGAAACCGTGGGCCGTGGCTTTTTCTGTAAGTGAGCAGGGGGTGCCGGGGAGTTTCTGAGCGGACTTCTGCTGTAACTGTCCCTCCCCCACCCCACTCCATCCTGTGGTGTGTGAGGCTGAGTGAAAATAAATAAACCCACCGCATCGGTGCAGGGGAACTGGCTCACTGTCTGAGAAAGGGGGTGACTGACCACATTGTCAGTGCTCATCTCCCCCGCGGAGAGGGAGAGACCAGGGCGTTCCTTCCGTCCCCGGTTCTGACCCCTTCTGAGATCTGAGGGGTGGGCAGGTGGGGCTGCTCCTTGAGGGGGGAGGTGTTCGTGCTACCTTC